CGTCAATTAGTTGTACGTAATTAATTGACAAATGGGATAATTGAGTAAATATTTTGATATAAACCCAATTTCATGTTGGATTCGATTTTTAATTTTGGTTTAACATCCAAACCGTAATTATTATAGTAAAGTTATCTGTGCGGTTATCCCCACTGAAACGGGAAACTCACAACTTGGTTTCCCTTAAACTCCCTCAGAGTACGTATACTGTTGGGTCGTGAGAAACTCGTGAGTACGTGTCCTCTGGAAGGGATGGTTTTACTCGTCCATTTAACAATCTCCGCTTCCGTCCTCGCCCTCGTCTGTCCGTACCAAGAACTAATATCTGCCTAACTAATCGAACTCTAAAGGAAATTGGGTTAGAACACCACCACCATCACCAGCTACACCAGCGAACCGAACCTCGGGTTAAAGCTTGTTACCGGAAACGCTGGACGTGTTATAATGAGATTGAACTCGAACTCGCAACAAAAAATATTACTTGGAATTATTAATTACATAAAAAAATTAAAAACTCGGTAATTGAGTTTCAAAATTTTGACAATTTTACCGTTGACGTTTGATCATAAATTTAAATTTTGCACACGGTAAGCATACAGAGATAGAGTTATCCATTAGGGTCTAATAGAATTGTCAATTTGGGGCCGATTCGGGCCGATATTAATCGCACTTCGCCGCTTAAATGGTTCATTAATCAACCGGGCAACAACGTTTAGAACAATTATTTCTAGGAAACCGTCATAAATTTGATTTTGTTTAAACCAAAAATTTTAAACAAAAAAATTTATTGTTGGAACTCTAGTATTAGTGGAATGTCATTATGTCATTAATTGCCTTCTTGTACTTTTTTGGATGTTCCAGAAGAATTATTAGTGATCGCAATCATGCTTAATAACAATCTCATAACCGTTGAGTGAGTGAGGATTGGGAAACAAGTAGATGATATGTGGCTTGAAGATAAAGGGCTGTATTAAATATTTCCAAAGCTCGAAATTGATCTATTCATTACTTAGACGTTGGAGATGTTATTAGAGATAACTACTTGTGGGTCTACACCAAGATTAAAGACATGCTGAATAGATTATGGTCAACAAGTGTTTATTCTTAACAATATTGCTTTCTTGCTCTTTTGCTTTGAGATGCAAAAATACGCAAATATGAATATTGAATTTCGTTGTTTTACAAATGGTCAATGGTGGCACTTTGGAATCGGGGCATTTTACAAAATAACTTTTGGAACAAAAGNAACAAGTGTTTATTCTTAACAATATTGCTTTCTTGCTCTTTTGCTTTGAGATGCAAAAATACGCAAATATGAATATTGAATTTCGTTGTTTTACAACTGGTCAATGGTGGCACTTTGGAATCGGGGCATTTTACAAAATAACTTTTAGAACAAAAGTTGTAGCAAATTTTATTCTTAACAATATTGCTCTCTTACACTTTTGCTCTGAGATGTATAGATATCGAGAAAAATACGAAAATATGATAATTTGATGAATTTCGGTGTTTCAAGTACGTAATGGTAACTTTCCGGAATCGGAGCATGCTATAAAAAAACTTTTAGAACAAAAGTTGTAGCAAATTTTATGCTTAACAATATTGCTCTCTTGCACTTTTGCTGTGAGATGCGTCAATATCGAGCAAAATACGAAAATATGGAAATTTTATGAATTTCGTTGTTTTACAACTGGTCAATGGTGGCACTCTGGAATCAAGGCGTTATATAAAATAAGTTTTAGAACAAAAGTTGTAGCAAACTTCATTCTTAACAATATTGCTCTCTTGCACTTTTGCTCTGAGATGCATAGATATCGAGAAAAATACGGAAATATAAATATTGATGCATTTCGTTGATTTACAACTGGTCAATGGTGGTACTCTGCAATCGGGGCATTTTACAAAGTTACTTTTAGAACAAAAGTTGTAGCAAATTTTATTCTTAACAATATTGCTCTCTTGCACTTTTGCTGTGAGATGCGTCAATATCGAGCAAAATACGAAAATATGAAAATTTAATGAATTTTGTTGTTTTTCAACTGGTCAATGGTGGCAGTCTGAAATCGGGGCATTTTACAAAATAACTTTTAGAACAGAAGTTGTAGCAAATTTTATTCTTAACAATATTGCTCTCTTGCACTTTTGCTCTGAGATGCATAGATATCGAGAAAAATACAAAAATATGAAAATTTGACGAATTTCGGTGTTTCAAGTAGGTAATGTGTAACTTTCCGGAATCGGAGCATGCTATAAAAAGACTTTTAGAACAAGAGTTGTAGCAAATCTTATTCTTAACAATATTGCTTTCTTACACTTTTGCTCTGAGATGCATAGATATCGAGAAAAATACGCAAATATGAATATTTATGAATTTCGTTGTTTTACAACTGGTCAATGGTGGCACTCTGGAATAGGGGCATTTTACAAAATTACTTTTAGAACAAAAGTTGTAGTAAATTTTAGTCTTAACAATATTGCTCTCTTGCACTTTTGCTCTGAGATGCGTCAATATAGAGCAGAATACGAAAATATGAAAATTTAATGAATTTTCGTTGTTTTTCAACTAGTCAATGGTGGCAGTCTGGAATCGGGGCATTTTACAAAATAACTTTTAGAACAAAAGTTGTAGCAAATATTATTCTTAACAATATTGCTCTCTTGCACTTTTGCTTTGATATGCATAGATATCGAGAAAAATACGGAAATATGAATATTCATGAATTTCCTTGTTTTACAACTGGTCAATGGTAGCACTCTGGAATCGGGGCATTTTACAAAATAACTTTTAGAACAAAAGTTGTAGCAAATTTTATTCTTAACAGTATTGCTCTCTTACACTTTTGCTCTGAGATGCATAGATATCGAAAAAAATACGAAAATATGAAAATTTGACGAATTTCGGTGTTTCAAGTAGGTAATGGTAACTTTCCGGAATCGGAGCATGCTATAAAAGAACTATTATAACAAAAGTTGTAGCAAATCATGGACAGTAGAATGTAACAGGACTGCTACATCCATTGTATTTTTGTAGTCCAATACGGGTTTATTTCCCGCACTTTACGTCACACTATTTGCCACGCCTGGTAACTGTCTGTGTTTTCAGAGATTACATGACAGACAGTAATACGACAAAAAACATAAAACTTCAAAAATAATATGAATACGTCTACGATATAACCTCTAAAAATACACAGCAAGCGCATAGACCATAACAACAACTGGGCACGTGGAAAATGGTGTGACGTACTTTGCGGGCAGGTTGTAACAACAATCGATGTAGCAGTCCTGTTAATTCTACTGTCCTTAATAGCAAATATTATTCTTAACAATATTGCTTTCTTACACTTTTGCTCTGAGATGCATAGATATTGAGAAAAATACGAAAATATGAAAATTTATGAATTTCGTTGTTTTATAACTGATCAATGGTGGCACTCTGGAATCGGAGCATTTTACAAAATAACTTTTAGAACAGAAGTTGTAGCAAATTTTATTCTTAACAATATTGCTCTCTTGCACTTTTGCTCTGAGATGCGTCAATATTGAGCAAAATGCGAAAATATAAAAATTTATGAATTTCGTTGTTTTACAACTGATCAATGGAGGCACTCTGGAATCGGAGCATTTCACAAAATAACTTTTAGAACAAAAGTTGTAGCAAATTTAATTCTTAACAATATTGCTCTCTTGCACTTTTGCTCTAAGATGCGTCAATATCGAGCAAAATACGAAAATATAAAAATTTATGAATTTCGTTGTTTTGCAATTGATCAATGGTGGCACTCTGGAATCGGGGCATTTTACAAAATAACTTTTAGAACGAAAGTTGTAGCAAATTTTATTCTTAATAATATTGCTCTATTGCACTTTTGCTCTAAGATGCGTCAATATCGAGCAAAATATAAAAATATGAACATTTAATGAATTTCGTTACTTTACAAGTGTTAATGGTAGCACTTGGGAATCGGAGCATGCTATAAAAGAACTTTTATAACAAAAGTTGTAGCGAATGTTATTCTCAAGAATATTGCTCTCGTGCACTTTTGCTCTAATATGCATAAATATTGAGAAAAATACGGAAACATGAATATTGATAAATTTCGTTGTTTTTCAACTGGCCAATGGTGGCACTCTGGAATGGGGGAATTTTACAAAATAACCCATATTGATATTAAGCCCGTATTATTCAATATCCCATATAGCTAAGAAACACCTCGTAACTTCGGCTATATTCGATCGAGAATACTCCATCACATATGCTAAGCGTAAGCTTGTAACAAAATGCATCTCTTTCAAATATTTTACGCTCAAGAAAATAACTCCAAACGTAATATGACAGCTTAAATGTCAAATCAAACTTTATATTTCGAAATATAACCTAAAAATGATTTTTTTTTAAACGTCAAATTTGACGTTTCTGCTTTTTTTTAAGATTTAACTTTCTTTTGGTGCTAAAACGAATTCTTTTCTTAAAAAAGCACGACTTTAAACGTTATCTGACAACTTACTTGTCAAATCAAACTTTATATTTTGAAATATAACCTAAAAATTAATTTTTGTAAACGTCAAATTTGACGTTTCAACTTTTTTTTTAAGATTTAACTTACTTTTGGTGATAAAACGAATTTTTTTCTTTAAAAAGCACGACTTTTACGCTTTTCCTTATTAAATTCTTTTGCCGATTGTAACGAATAATTCTAATTTGAAGGTGCTCTTTTCCCCTCATAGAAAGTACGACGTCGTGTTCGTCGTAGAACGCGAATTGAAATTGGAATTTAAATTTCTAAATTGAATTCTTTTCTTATTGACGACGGAAAATCGATTATGAACCCGGTTTTTAACCTTCTTTTAGGAAGAGTTTCTCCCCTTTTTGCTTATCCCTTTATGAAATCAAATCTATTTTGATGTTTCATCATTTTATTGAGTATATAAAAATTTTTTTTAATAAATAATTCAAGAAGAGCATTACGTAATTTAATCAATTAATTTTAAAAACTCACCGAAACGTTGAAAATCCATCTTTATTTATCATCACGAAGAAAAATCACATTTTTTTTAACTTTTATTATCTAAAATCGTCTTAATTAATTAACTAATTTAACTCGTCATAGTTCTCATTCACTTTCTTTCGAAAAATATTTTAATTTTAAATCAAAAAAAAAATATATAAACCTTTTTTTTGGAATCGAAACCGTCTAAATAAGCCGTTTCGAATCGATGGGCCTCGATTTGATGCTCGAACACAGCGCGAATTAACGATTTTTTTGTGTGCTTTTGCTACAGCTTCTGTTGGAGCTTTTTTCGCGTTGTCCTATCGAGGACGTTCGTTTCTGGTACGTTTTCAGCGAAATACTGTCTCTCACTGGATGAAAATCTCTCTCGATTGTGAGTGTTTCCGAGCATGCGCCCTAAATTTCACTGCCACAGACACATATTAAAATCCCTTAGGGGCCTTTTCGATATCTACATTTATTCCGAAAAAGAAGGAGCAAAAATTTCGCCCAAACAAATTAAGTTATGGAAAATATTCTTTCTTAAATCATTAAGGAAATGATAAAAAGTTTTTAAAATCGGTTTGACGTTTATACTTTTATTTATTATTTATTAAGATATATTATAGCCGAGGCTCTAGAATCTACACCGTTGAACAGAGTTTAGTCGAGGTCACTTGCGGCCGTGGCTATACAACCTACACAGTTGAAGAAAATTTAGCCAAGGTCTCTTGCGGCTGAGGCAGTACAGGGTGTCCCAAATTCGTTGTTCGCATCCGAAACTAAAAGAGATTCTTAAAATGTAACTTTCTTTCTGTCATTACATTTTTGGGTTGGCTTAGGTCGGTGCTCAATTGTTTCAAAGTACGAAACGTCAATTTATAACAAAAGTGAATAAAATTTTACTATGAATTTCGAAAATTATGAAAAATTAAGCTTAGCCAATGTTTTTTTCCGGGATGATTGACAGGCGGAAACAAAACTGACTCAACCTAACGTGTTTTTACGGTATAATTGACATAATAAAAGAAAACTAACCTTAATCAACATTTGATACTATCACCGTTGGTATTTATCTTAATGATTGTTTATCTCATTAATACGAAGTTGCATTAAAAAATGTTTCAAATAATATTTGTTTAGAATCAAGTTAGCAACAATTTTTATTTGAAAAATTTTCCAATATTTTTGCTAGGTGGCGCTGTGTACTCGTATAAGGACTTAATTTCCCTCTGAATAGCACTAAATAATATCAAGGTGTTTTAAGACGAATAGACACTCACTATTATTTTTATTTATCCAACATACAGGGTGTACAAAAAGTATGGAATAATGGTTTTATAGCCTAAACTTCAACTTATACAGTATAAAAAAAAAGTTTTAAATAAAATTTACTTGAAACTATTTTCCGCATATCTTGGCGTAGAAATAAAATAAAAATAATGACGGCAGTCTGAGTTACGACATGGTGAGTGTGTTTTTTATATGAAACATCCTGTATATTTTAAAGTTTTTGGATTCCTTTTGACGAGGTGTTGCAAAATGCCATAATTTTTTAATGCTTTAAACTGCATAGTTTTCGAGATATTGAATCTTTTATTTAAAAAGATTTGACGTAGTGACAACCAAAGCCTTGACGTCATAGAGATGGGCGGAGCTTATACCGACTCCAAACATTTTCGTTGCTAACGCTAAATCGCCAAAAATGTCATTTGAAATGTCATCACTTAGTTTATTTTATTATAACACTAATTGAAAAATTGCATATGGGGATTTTTCGTTACCAATACAGTTAGCAACGAAGATGTTTGGAGTCGATATAAGTTCCGGCCATCCCTGTGTCGTCAAGGCTTAGGTTGTCTATTCCATAATGACGCCATCATTTGGTTGTCGCTACGTCAAATCTTTTTAAATAAAAGTTTTAATATCTCGAAAACTGTGCAGTTTAAAGCATTAAAACCTTATGGCATTTTGCAACAGCTTGTCAAAAGGAATCCAAAAACCTTAAAATATACTGGGTGTTCCATTTAAAAAACACACTCACTTTATTTCTACGCCAAGATATGCGGAAAATAGTTTCAAGTAACTTTTATTTAAAACTTTTTTTAATATAAGTTGAAGTTTAGGCTGTAGAACCATTATTCCATACTTTTTGTACATCCTGTATGACTTAAAATAGTTCTAATCAAACATTTAATACTTCCAGTAGATGGCGCTGATATAAAAAATAACATTTTTGAGGTTATCTCAAAAATAACTGATTGTATTAAAAAATATTTCAAATAATATTTGTTTAGAATCAAGTTAGCAACAATTTTTATTTGAAAAATTTTCATATATTTTTGCTAGGTGGCGCTGTGTACTCGTATAAGGACTTAATTTCCCTCTGAATAGTACGGCAAAAACATTAAAGTATTTTTAGGCTTATAAACGCTTACTATTATTTTTATTTATCCAGCATATGACTTGAAATAGTTATAATCAAACATTTAATACCTCCAGTAGGTGGCGCTGATATAAAGAATAACATTTTTTGAGATTATCTCAAAAATAACTCATTGTATTAAAAAATGTTTCAAATAATATTTGATTAGAATCAAGTTAGCAACAATTTTTATTTGAAAATTTTTCCAATATTTTTGCTAGGTGGCGCTGTGTACTCGTATAAGGACTTAATTTCCCTCTGAATAGTACGGAAAAAACATTAAAATATTTTTAGGCTTATAAATGCTTACTATTATTTTTATTTATCCAGCATATAACTTAAAATAGTTATAATCAAACATTTAATACATCCAGTAGATGGCGCTGATATAAAAAATAATATTTTTGAGGTTATCTCAAAAATAACTGATTGTATTAAAAAATGTTTCAAATAATATTTGTTTAGAATCAAGTTAGCAACAATTTTTATTTGAAAAATTTTCCAATATTTTTGCTAGGTGGCGCTGTGTACCTGTATAAGAACTTAATTTCCCTCTGAATAGTACGGAAAAAACATTAAAGTATTTTTAGGATTATAAACGCTTACTATTATTTTTATTTATCCATCATATAACTTAAAATAGTTCTAATCAAACGTTTTAATATCTCCAGTAGATGGCGCTGATATAAAAATAACATTTTTGAGGTTATCTCAAAAATAACTGATTGTATTAAAAAATGTTTCAAATAATATTTGTTTAGAATCGAATTAGCAATCATTTTTACTTAAAATTTTTTTTTATATATTTGCTAGTTGGCGCTGTGTACTCGTATAAGAACTTAATTTCCCTCTGAACAGTACGGAAAAAACATTAAAATATTTTTAGGCTTATAAATGCTTACTATTATTTTTATTTATCCAGCATATAACTTAAAATAGTTATAATCAAACATTTAATACTTCTAGTAGATGGCGCTGATGTAAAAAATAACATTTTTGAGGTTATCTCAAAAATAACTGATTGTATTAAAAAATGTTTCAAATAATATTTGTTTAGAATTGAATTAGCAACAATTTTTATTTGAAAATTTTTTTAATATTTTTACTAGGTGGCGCTGTGTATTCGTATAAGAACTCAATTTCCCTCTGAATAGTACTGAAAAAACATTAAAGTACTTTAAAGCGCCAAAATTTCATCTGATGTTATCAAAAAATGATTTGACATTGCAATTAACTAAAAAAACATTGAGGGGTGTTGAATTGTTGCTATTTATTTTCGATTGTTTATCGACTCCATTTGTAACATATTTGTAAAAGTCTGAAAGTTGTAAAGGTTGTAAAGGTAAAGTTGGTGAAAAATGGAAGAAAGTGATATGACAAATTAAAGAATGAAATGTCTATTAATATAAATGTTAATGTTAATATAAATAATGTGATTGATTAATCAGATTGTATTTTTCATTATTTCACTAGTGGATAAAGTGGTAGTTTATACGGTTCATAAGTGTGGATAAAACTTCAATTATAAGGTGATTGTGGATAAAACCACCTTGATGGCTTTTTCGTACTATTCAGAGGGAAATTAAGTTTTTGTACGAGTACACAGCGCCACCTAACAAAAATATTGAAAAATGTTTCAAATAAAAGTTGTTACTAATTCAATTCTATACAAATATTGTATGAAAGTTTTTTTTATACAACCACTTATTAATGAGATAACGTCATAAATGTAAATTTTTTTATATCAGCGCCACCTTATGGAGATATTGAAAGTTCGATTAAAACTGGGCTGTTATATTATTTAAGTCTAGGTATATGAATATTTGAAAAGTTCGCGTTTGCAAACCGGATATCGGAGAATATCTCGTGTTGATTTTGAGCAAAACGCAACGAAAAAAACTTCATTAATATTTTTAATAATTTTAAACTTAACGCGGTAAAAATAATAAATAGATTTCCTCTTTAATTTCNCTAGATGGCGCTGTGTACTCGTATAAGAACTTAATTTCCCTCTGAACAGTACGGAAAAAACATTAAAGTATTTTTATAATTAGGTGAATATAACTTTGCTTTTGAGATGGATACATTTTATTTTCGGCTCAACCGGTTTCAACTATTTTTAGTTATCTTCAGGAGCTTTAGCCATGTCAACTTTACTTTTAATTTTCAAAATCTGGATTTATCTTCTTATTTATAATCCTTTTCTCAAATTCCTTGCTGTTAATTATTGTCAAAAATGTCACCAATTTTGTGTTATACCTTCTTTTTATGTTATTCACTACAACGGTTATTTTATTTTTGAAAAAAAAAAATAAAACATGTACTCTTATAAGAACTTAATTTCCCTCTGAACAGTACAGAAAAAACATTAAACTATTTTTAGGCTTATAAATGCCTATTATTATTTTTATTTATCCGACATATAACGTAAAATAGTTGTAATCAAATTTTTAATACCTCCAGTAGATGGCGCTGATATAAAAAATAACACTTTTTGAGATTATCTCTAAAATAACTGATTGTATTAAAAATTGTTTCAAATAATATTTGATTAGAATTGAATTAGCAACAATTTTTATTTGAAAAATTTTCCAATATTGTTGTTAGGTGGCGCTGTGTACTCGTATAAGAACTTAATTTCCCTCTGAATAGTACGGAAAAAACATTTAACTACTTTAAGGCGTATAAACGCTTACTATTATTTTTATTTATCCAACATATGACTTAAAATAGTTGTAATCAAGCAGGTGTTACCTCCAGTAGATGGCGCTAATATAAAAAATAACATTTTTGAGATTATCTCAAAAATAACTGATTTTATTAAAAAATGTTTCAAATAATATTTGTTTAGAATCGAATTAGCAATCATTTTTACTTGAAAAATTTTTCTATATTTTTGCTAATTGGC